CCGGTAGCAACAAAAACTGCGGGGAACCATGCAAAAAACGCATCTTCGCACGGGCAGCCGGTGCGTCGGCCAATTTTTTGTTACAGTAGTGCTACCTCGAGAGCCAATTTATGGATGAAAAAATGTTTATATTTAAGCAATGTGTATTTTTAACCCACCTCCTTCCCCTTCACCACTTTTAAACCTCGCTTCCTTGTTTTTTCCCTGTCGTTTCATTATTCTTATACTATCTGACACACGTTCATCATATGCATGGCGTTTACATTTGAGCACTGATAAATACCTTTTCTAAGCGCACGTTGCGTTTGCTTTGTGTTTGCAGCTAAGGGATGAAACATAGACTGCATCCAAAACTGCCCTTTTGCAAAGATACTTAGTCCGATTTCTTATCTCCTATTCTATTATTTCATTTAATGAAGCAACTAAAAATATCATTACTTGACGATTCCGCTTAAAAAGCTGTCATATGCAGCAATAACAACCAAGGTAATCTAGAAGGAGAAAACTCATCAATTTACTTTTAAAACAATTCCTTCACAAATTCAATAGTCCTTTCTGTTTTGCTTTTCCTTTCTCCGCTCTTCCATTTCCATGATTTCGTCCAGCGCAGACTTTCTCGGCTTCGCGTCCTGCTTCTCCACTTTGCTTGTTCCAGCAATCACGTGATCTTAAAAAAAAATAATTATGACCACCACGACTGCTCAGCTGCAAGTGGTGGTACTGTACTGATCATAGACGCCAAGCTACAAACTGCATATCTCCGACCTATGTGCATGTTTTGCCTCTTCGAATGCTGCTCAAGTGATCTTAACTTTCTTACCGGGACCACTCGCTACTGTGCGACTTTTCACCTGTTATCGGTAAAACGAACGACATGCCTTGCTCATAGGAATTTACTTTCTCACATGGTTGCGATAACACTCGACAAGTCACTCGCTTGACGGCGAATGTGACTATTTATCTGGTTGCAAAACATCGAGTACCCTTCAGTTCATCGCCCTCTTCGCAACAATCACTTGCTCCTCAGCTTTCGTTAGTGACTAAATTTTGCAATCTGCATGCCCCCGTTTTCGAAACAGTACTACTGAAGAGGTGGGTACATTTAACACAGCAGAACATTTTCTGACCCCCCTCCAACTGCTGGGCGTCCCTTTTTTTTGCTTAATTAAATCGAACGAACAGCAAGAGCTTTCCAAATTCCATGCCGTTCAAACTAAGAGCGGCTTCTATTTTCGTTACATGTTATTTTCCATGCCAAGTTGTGTAGTGCATAAGTTGTTTTTGGGTTATCACTCCGTGTCCAGATAAGATTCCGGTTTAGACAGACAAATGGGGCAGAGTCTTTCCAGTCAAGCTCTGAGCTGCAACAGTAAGTGACCCGCCACGTCCAAGATTGACCAGTCCGCGCAGTTCCCCGTCCGCACCTAGGAATTTATGGGAGCTGAAAAAATACCATCTTTTGATGTCCCGGTTGACATCAACCCTTTCCTACCTCGTTTTTTTTTGTTCCCTTCCTTTCCCGCCTCTTCGCTCTGCCCTCGGCTCCCTCCCTCTCCTCTTCTTCCTGCGCTCTTCTAAAGACTTAGTCATAGATACCCCGAGACAAGAAGGCTGCTTGTTAAGCGGATTGAAAAAAAATTCCCGGGGAAAACATGATAAAAAAGTTGACATAAAAGGGTCGGAGGTAGACTCATAAATCACGTGCCAAGTTCTTTTTTATCGCTATCTTTCCTTCGCCTTTTTGAAGACAATTCACTCCTATCTGAGTGGTTTTCACGTTTATGTGATGATTGCGTATCCGATTTCGCTTCTTTTTTTACTTTGACATCAAACACTGGATGAGATGAAGCAAGACCAGACGTACTTGGCCCCTGAAAATGCAACCATCTCGGATAAGACAAAAATGCCAGACGGGTAATGAAAGCATTACTATAGAGGAATTTGAAATACTAACCTCAATGGCTGCTTTTTTTGGCGCTAAGGAAAATGCCACTTTTGCATCTTCATCAGGACGCAATAATTCTGTCGGCCGATTCGTACTGTCTTCTGACGGCTGCAGCTTTTCTCGACCTCTGTGAAATACAATATTTCAAATCAAATAAATGTAAGGGCGATTTCTTCGCCTTGCTTCCCCACCCCCCACCCCAAATGACAAAATCCTAAAAATAAAATAAAATAAAGAAAATGACGTGTCATCTTTTGATGACATCCCTCCGGGACGTCGAGAACCGACGTTCCCAGCGGAGATCGGATCTCCGACAGGAGTTCAATTCCCTCGTTCCCAGACTACATATTCTCCCGCCGCTTTTACCACCGAAGATGTGATCTACGATGGCCAAATCCCATCCTTCATTCCCATGCGGAACATTCTCAATTCCCGTTATCGGAGATTGTGACGCATGATATCACTTGCAGTGAGAGCGATATATTAGTTCGAGGACCGGATGTTCGTGGTCCGCTTTCACCTGCTTTCGATTGTGCCAACTGACACGCTTCGCTTCGTCAGTGATTTACTTCGTTTTATTTGTGATCTACCTAATTCTACGCTCGTGCGCCTGTAACTGGTGTCCTGTGTAATAAAACTTGTCCTACTTTAGTCTGGCCTGACACTTTTCAGGGGTAGTTCGATCTACTGACATACGTGGTAGCTAGATTTAATAACCACACTTTTTCTTAAACCAAATGTGATAACCATTACAGAATCGGAAGGATGGAGAGGAAACGTTGCTGAAACTAATACATTTGAAGGAATAAAGGAAACTATGTGTGAAGTATTACTAAACTAATACATTTCCGCTAATTTAAATACACAAAGATTTTAGGAGCTAATGCATGCGAAGAAGCCGACAATGGTAATGTACCAACAGAATATGTGTATTGAGTATGACTGCGTATAAAAACTACCGAACCTAAACTACCGAACGTATATGGATACGAGGTTGGCAATGCCAATGAAGTTTAACAAACGTGTCAAAATATGCAGTGTGGGTCGCATATTTCACATATGACTGCGAATTGTAAAATGTCATTTCAGATTTCAAAAAAAAAGCAATCGAAACTTATTCGATTTGTTTTTCATACCTTTCTACTTGTTCGTTGAGTAATTACTGTTGTCGCTTCTTATCGTCATGGGCTGCTTTTTATGCGTTTTTGCCTATATGCAAATTGCTAAAACGCATATTGA